CGCCCCGTAAATAATTGTTGCCGGCTCATTAAGACCTATCTGAGAACACATTGGATCCAAGAAGATTCCATAGCCCTCATTGACGAGAGCAACGTCGCTACCCTTGAAATCAAGGCACCCTTTAGATGTGGTCAAGAAGTTGACAATCGTCCTATGCATTGCAATAGTGCTGATGTTTCCTATAAACCATCAGGGGAAGCTGTAGGGGAAGAATAATTGTGAGAAGAAACACACTTTTGGACAAGGCCTTGGAGCCAAGGGGTGAATACCAATTATTTTTATAAAATTTTTCCTGTGATGTATATTGAGAATTATCGTAGGGCATGTATTCAGAAACAGTGTTGATGAAACCTCCCAATAACGTATGTGGACTCTCGAAATTGTTATCTAATAATAATGTCAGGAAAGACGCTGTGTAACGGTGCCTAAGAATGGTCAAGTGATGATCTTGGTGAATTAACAGTGTCTTACCTTCCTCGTAACCAATGCCACATTCGATCCATAAGAAGCCGACCAGCATCTGACTTTCCAAATTGTGGAGGTAAGAATTGGGAAACATAACGTCGGTGGATTTCTAGATCATCGAAACATCCTGTATCTGAACACCAGAGAAAATTATCCCATTCTCCTGAGGAAGATTGAAAATGTTCCTGAGGAATGACAGTACCCGCGACGACGAATTTAACCGGGAAGCAACCCATATGTAGTTGCCAGCTTCGGAGAATCGCCTTTAAAAGCGGATAAGGTCCGCCGTCATCTTCTAAGGCCCCATAGTGCTTTTGGGAGACCACATTCGCTTCATCCAACACAATGTAGAAGACTTCTCCGGGTGCCATTTGCAAGAGAAATTGGATGTCCTCCCATGTGTGCAGTATGGCTTCATCAATGACAGAATCATTCACGCAGGCTATAGAGATCTGGTGCTTTATCTTACCATACGGTTCGAAAGGCGATGCGAGGTTGTGGGGAAAGATTTGTGATTCCAACCAACGTTGGCGATGATCATGACAAAAGCCCGCTTTCGAGCAGGCTTCAAGATACATTTTAAAGACGATCAGCCGCGCTAACAGGGCTTCGCATGCTATGCGATAAACGGTTTGTACGTTGTCTTGCAACGATGTGGTATAATGAGGGTCAGTGCGAAAAGGTAGGAGACCAGTCCAGTTAGAATTCGAGCTTATATCAGAGATATCGGCTGCGAAGTCGCTAGCTCCAAGGTAAGAGGAATCGATGGCACAGGTGATATAAAATCCCCAATGAATGCAAAGACCTTCGAAAAGCAGTCTAGTTTTTCCAGTACCAGACGTGTTGATAAGAAACCTATATATAACAAGAATTTCAAAGACATTCTTCACGTAGAGTGTGTGAGACAAACGTGTGATGATCTGGAGAGAAGATTGTGTCCAACCTCTTCCGCAGGAGAGGGTCATGCTGAAAACTGCCCAGTTTGTGAAGTATGACAAGAGGAATTTCTTCGCGGCTTCCGAGTGGAATCCCGAGCTTCTGAATATGGTCATTTATGTCTGGGTTGACGCTATTCCTCGTAGAAGCCCAGATAGAGCGTTTCCATTCGCCTTTGACGACGGGCGTGATCTTATTCTGTGAAGCTATCAAACGAATTGCCTCGTTCATACTCTTGAGCCTAGGGTTTGTGCGCCACGCATTTCGCTCAAAGTACACTGTAAATAGAAAGTTAGAACGCTAGAAAATCTCCCAAACGATAAGACGCGCCGCAAATACTCTCTAATGCTCCTAGGTCCCGGGCTTGGTGCGCGATCTTGACTTGCTCGTACATCCCAGAATCGAGGGAAAGAGTGGCGGAGCATTGTTCCAATGAAGGCTTGAACGTTCCTTTCCGAAAATTGGTCAGATATTCATGAAGGAATTCTGAAGTCGGCAAAGGTCGCTCGATGTCTGGAAAAGAGGCAAAAACATCCATGTGGCAGTCAGATCGCTGATTCGCACAACATTTGCGTTTCTTCGAAGTGCAGCTAGCTTTGGAGCGGCCTCCGCTTTCCGAATCTTCGGCTTAATCGGGCGACTCGGTTTTGACTTGCTGATGTCGATGACGCCCAAAACAACGATCACAATGATATCTTGCTGTAAAGGATCAGGGGAACTGTTGAACCTCGCTAGCCCATATTCTACAAATTTCATCTCATTTTTTCCCAAGTCGGCAGATAGTCGGGAGGTGAACAAATACTCATAGTAGATTGTTCTGATCCTTTCTTACATTTCCCCTTCCAGCCTCTGAAATGCAAATGCCCGAGAAGGCCACGCAATATTCTGGAATGGTGTCTCGTTTCCCTTGTAATCTGCTGGATCGATACCGGTCATCTTGAGAATGTACGAATTGAGGATTTTATGCAGGTCAGGTGCTGGTATCCGTTCTGCAATACAACAGACAAATGCTCTGCAGCGAACCTATGCCTAGCAAATGACGCCATGAGAACAAGTAGTAACTAGCAATGCCTGGTCAATTCCAGAATCCCTTACCTTCCGCTCAACCAGTAAAAAATCCGTCCCTGCAACTGTGCAAATTCCTTATTTTGGTATATTCTAGGAGAAAAAAACTCTTTCATGTACTCGAGCTGACTCGGAGCTGTAGCGTCGTTGAATGCTCCTGTTTCGTTGATATCAACAGTAAATCCTGGTTTTAACATCACCGATGCCAGACAAGGCTTCATAAATGACCTCCCTGGACAAGCCTGTCCCAGTAACGAAGCAAGCTTGGACTCCAGTGGTATGAGATCGAGGATGAACATAATCATCTTTGCATAGGGAACAAGGCTGAACAAGGACATACATTGCCACTCGGAAACTCGGAAATGTTTCTCTACCGAAGAACAAAAACCCAGACTAACCCAGAAAATCGAGACGTTTTCCTAGCAACTTGATTCGGACAAGTACATACTTGCATTGACGGCGACTCGGATCAGTACTGCAATTCGCTAATTCGAGGCAATTCGTCTATTTTTGTTTCTCTACGTCTGGTTCCGGATCCGATAATCTCTCAGTGATAGCCTGAGGGCCCGCCGAAGAGTATCATATCGATATCATGGGATTTTGGAAGAGATTTGTTAGATTGTCAGAGAGTGATGATGAATACAAGTCAAAAGGTAGGAGGAGGAGGAGGAGGAAGAGGAGGAGGCAAAAGGATATAGAATGGAGATGGGAGTGATTAAGGTCAGAGGGAGACGGAAGGGTCAGAAGAAGAAGGTGAGAGGAAGAAAGAAAGGCGTAAGTAAATAAAAAACGAGAGGTAAAGGGAGTATAAACTTTACACGAAATAAATAAATAAGTAACCGAGGATGTACTACTAGTACAGAAGGAGCGTCAAAACGTATTATATAGGAGCCTGGCCTAAGCGCTTGAGGGTCGTCGAAACGTGAAGGGCGTCGTCGTGGATTTACGTTGCAGAGCAGAAGGAGAAAGAGGTGGGTATCATGGAAAGCAATGGACGCGCAGCATAATGATCATCGCTTCCCACCTCGTTGAGGAGGCCCACTCCCACTTCTATCTGGAAGCAAACTATCATAGGTGGGCGGAATCTCATCCGGACCCTCTCCTTCTCCCTCACCCCTGGGAACATCAACCCTCCCTCCGTCCTGATGCACCAACACATCTCTGCTCCTCCCACCAAACGCAGGCCCCGCAGCTGATTTGTTTTCAACACGGGCACCGGGGGTGAACCCGCCGACGAATAGACCTTCGGGACCTGCTGCAGATGAAGATGAAGCACCAGCACCAGCGCCTGGATCTGGATTAGCGACATTGAATCGACCATATCCTTGCCCGGCTCCAGTGTGCGTGGTGTGTGTGGAAGTAGACCCGGTGTTGGATGCTGGATTGGGTTGATTGGGGTTTTGGGTGTAGGGATTCGGCAGGCGTTCGCCGACGCCGAAACCGTACGGTGCATTGGAGCCTTGAGGTTGAGTAGGCGGTGGGCCGTTCTCACCATAAGCAGCGGCATACACCGACGCGGGTACACCTGAGTTGGATAAACCCAAACTTGGGGACCTGGTATGTGTACTTGGACGTGAATACCCGAGGGATGTTGAAGATGGATTGGAGTTTTGTTGTTGTGTCGACATTTCAGGAGGTATTGCGTTTGCGTTTGTTGGGTGATACAGAGGATACGGTGCGACGACACCAGCACCCAGTGCCGAGCCAGCTAACCTTCCACCCATTCCATCATCATCATCCCCAACATTCGGCAACGTCGCTCCTCGTCCCCTCATCCCTTTCGGCTCACCCTTCATCGCTTTCCCCTCAGTCACAATCCTATCCGGATCAAAGTTCCCATCAAACGCCTCTAAAGATCTCTGTTTTTGTTTATACCTCTTCCACCACATTCCAACCAACACCAAAACGATTATCAGCGCTGCTCCACCACCGACGGCACCCCCAACTATCGCTCCTGTGTGCGAGTCTGATGATGAAGATGATCCGGAGTCTGAGGAGGACGAAGAAGTGACGGTGGCTCCTGGTGGTAAGACGGTAGATGTCTGGATAACGGTGGTGTATACCTGGCCATCAGCAGATGTCCCTACGACGGTAGTAGGTACAGCAGTCGTTAAAGACGCTGTAAGCGTCGATGTTGACGTTGTCGAGCTGCTAGTCTTCGTCGCACTGGACGTCCCGCTACTAGAACCTGAACCAGAACTTGAACCACTGGATTGCGCTGACGATGCGGTATTCGATGCCGACGTCGAGGAAGAAGTATTAGAGGTGTTGCTGGTATTGCTGGAAGTCGTAGATGAAGTTGTAGAGCTACTGCTACTCGTTGTCGTACTCGCAGACGTCGGTGATGAACTCGATGTCGTAGCAGAACTTGCTGGTGCCCCGCTCGCCATCGTGGTTACTCTTGATCTTGTTTTTTTTTTCTTGGCAATTTGCAAATTGGAGCACGGCTTTCTCAAGCCTTAGCCTCGCGTTTGTACAGCCATTCCCGCAGATTTCACGTTGTTATATTGTTATAGATTAGACAATTTCCTTATGGTCTAATAGTGTAGAGGTTATCACACGGGATTTTGATAACCAATTCACTCTCTGCCACATTATCTTCTTCCCGTAACCCAGGTTCGAGTCCTGGTTAGACCTTGCTAACTCCTCAACAAAGTTTTGTCGGAAATTTTGTGATTGTTGAGGTTGAGGTTCATGTTGATTGAGTCTTTGTGTATTACGGAGCCGCCCGGAGCCACCTGCAGAGACAGACATGGAATGTGCATGGTTTGAATTTTTGACTTCCTTCTTTTCACAAACCAAAAGCTTTCCACCTCTTACAGTGGTTTCAGAAAATAATGAGAATCATAAAATTTTGTTCAAGATGTCACATGTTGCACATCACATAGATTACTACCTGATATAGAATAGTATGAACCAATGTTACTATGTGTCTCTTTGTTCTGAATGGATAACTGCAGGATCAGTCCTGATCTCAAAAACTGTGCACTGGATCTCTGAGAGCGTGGCTGGGACCATTCTAACATCTGTTCAGCACTAGGTATATTGTCAGCAAGCCTTTATCATTGGATCCAAATCTTCAATGAATTTGACTCAGTTGTCAAATCTCCATCTCCTCTTTGTGGATGCCCTTGAATGATCATTCTTGCTGCCCTCACTGCCATGAAGGAGATATATAATCATTACCCTGATAGCTACCTTGACAATTTTGGGTGGTTCCTCGCTTTCCATTATGATGTTGTAATATTGAAATCAGCTCTTCATGACAATCTTCAAAAGGCTGGTGTTACAATCACTTTTTTTCATCTTATCTTTTTCTTATCTTGTCTTATCTTTTATCTCCCTTATCTCATATCTTGTCTTATCTTGTCTTACATTGTCACCTGACCTATTATTCATGCTTACTGATACAACATGCATACAGCATGTTGATCAAGTCTTTATTACTTACACATTGCTTTACTTAGGCTTTATGTGTTTCACACATGTTTTACCCATGCTTGCCACTGACCCAGAGTATTGGACATTACTAGGGCAGAGGGTTACTTACTTGTATATAAGCTGTAGTTACTTGCTGTATTTCCTTGTTGAGCAGGCAAGGGGTGCATAGTGGTGACACTCTCTAGCACCATACCTGGGTAGTATAGCTTATAGTCTCAGTGAGGCAATAAAGATGAGAGAGAAGCGAGTTGGATTCCAGTACAGGACATAGCTACTTATATACATAAATGTATGACAGTATTACATAAGGAAGTACTGAGGAATCCGCATATGGTATATGATGTCAGTGTACACTAAGCATAGACTAGGATAACACATGACCGTATTAGTGATGTGTGAACAGCATAGCCGCATTCAACACTCCCCCTTGCTGAGCAGCACAGTAAAGTACTTTGCTCGAAGCAATAGCGGTAGGCGTCAGGCAAGGCAGACAGCCTAAGGATTGGTGGACGAGTAAAACTCAAGTCCAAGCATTGAGCGGAATAGCTCAAATTTGATACGCCCAAGATTCTTTGTGAGAAGATCTGCGGGGTTGTTACTGCCATCTACGAAGAATACTTGCACAAGACCACGTTCAACAACTTCACGGATATAATGATATCGGATGTCAATGTGTTTTGAGTGCTTGCTAGTGACAGGATTTGATGCCATGAAAATGGATCCTTGATTGTCTCCAGCAATAGGAATAGCGTCAAGCTTATAGCCTAATTCCTCAAGTAGATTGCGGACCCAAACCACTTGGCGGCTGCAATCAGACAATGCCATATACTCAGCCTCTGTAGACGAGTGAGCGATTGTTTTCTGCACATGGCTGGTCCAAGAGAAGATGCCATTGGCAAGCTTCATAAAATATCCAGTCTGAGACCGGCAAGTATAAGGATCGGAAGCCCAATCCGAATCAGTCCAAGCACTGAGACCAATACCCGATTCACCATCATAGCAAAGTGCATATGATTTCGTACCTAGGAGGTAGCGGCAAATATAGAGTGCCTTGCTAAGGTGCTCTTGAGATGGGTTAGCTGCATGTTGTGCAAGCTTGGTGACAGCGAAGGAGATGTCGGGATGTGTGCCCAACATAAGGTAGAGAAGGGAACCAATAACCATCTGAAACTTGCTACGAAGAGCGGAATCCGCCTGGCCTTTGGTGGGTTCGGGTTGGAACCCTGCAGGAAGTGGTGTATCAGCCATTTTAGCATTTTCCATACCGCAACGCTTAAGGACTTTGTCAAGGTAGGCGCATTGATCAATATAGATCTTTTTGCCACGACGAGTAATCCGCATGCGAAGGAATTCTTTGGCTTCACCAAGATCTCTGCATTCCCAGTGTGACATGAATTTCTCTTTTAGAGAAGCTACGAGTTTCTTGTCAGGTCCAGCAAAGAGTGCGTCATCAACGTAGATGATGGCGATGACTAGTGTGTCATCTTTACCTCAACGGACAAAGATACCTGCATCAGAGCTCAAGCGTTTAAAGCTGAGTGTTTTCATGTATGAGTCCAGTGTTCGCCACCAGACAAGACCTGCTTGTTTTAGTCCATACAGAGCTTTGCGCAGTAAGAGGACTTTATCTTCTTTGCCTTTGATTCGAAAACCTTCAGGTTGTTCCATGTAGATAGTCTCATGTAAGACGCCATATAGATAGGCATTTCGAACATCGAGTCCAGTGAGATACCAGTTGTTCAGCGCAGTCAAGGCGAGCAACAGTCTAACAGTCTCAAACTGTACTACAGGAGAGAAGACTTGGTCATAATCAAGACCTTCAATTTGTGAGAACCCTTTGACAACAAGGCGTGCCTTCTTACGACCGTCAGATTTGACGTCGAAGACCCAGCGGTTCTTAATGACCTTTCGGTCTGCTGGACGATCCATGAGTTCAAAAGTACCACGCCGTTTGAGCGCTTCAAGCTCTTCTTGGCAGGCCTTAAGCCATTCCTCACGCTCAGCCTTAGGTAGGCGAGTAATGTCCTTGTAAGTCCATTCACGGACGTTCTTGGAGCCTTTCAGCTCCCCCTCAAAGGGAACGGCCTTAGCCATGAGAAAATATATTAATTCAGCTCCCCCTTCCCGACATAGTCTGATCAGGGTACTAGCTTCGTCACCGGGAGTGACAGAGGGTTGTTCTCCATCTTCAGGAGTAGGATGCTCAGTACTAGGTCCGGGAACCTGTTCTGGCTCAGGGCGCTCTTGCTCAGCCGAGGAGCTACCTGGCTGTGGAGCTCTTGCGCGTCTCTGAATATCCCTCTTTGGTCTCTCTACCTGTTGTTCTGTAGGAAGCTTACTGCTGCTTCTAGGATCACCGGTAAGACGAGTAGGTGGTCTCCGCACACGACCTGAACGTCTCGGTTGCTCTTCAGCAGGAGGTTGTTCATTCCGGGGTTGTGGCGGCGGACTAGGATCTCGCGCTGGCTGTTCAGCTGGCGCAGGCGGTGCAACGTCTTGCTCCGGATCCTGTCTCCTTTGGGGAGTAGTAGGTTGATGAGAGATTGGAACATCATCATCATCAGGTGGAGGAATTGGATCTTTAGGATCTGTGTTGCGATCTGGTAGTCGCGTAGAGCGATGACGCTCTGAGGCTTTACAACGAGGAAATAATTTCTCATCAAAGACAGCGTGCGTAGCAGTGAACATAGCATTGTTCGACCGCATGTAGATATTTCCGTGTCCACCATCAGAAACTCCGAGATATGTCATTAGTTCTGACCTGGGCGATTGTTTGTTTACCCGTACTTCTTCATGAAGATAGACGTATGCGCCACAGCCAAAGACACGCAAGTGATCTATGCGCGGAACTTTGTTGTACAAAATCTCATATGGTGTTTTCCATTTGTGACGACGCATAGGAGTGAGGTTATACACACACACAGCATGTTTAACAGAGAATTCCCACCAGGATTCAGGAATACAGGCTTGAAAGCGCTGCGGTTCACTTTTCTCAATAATAGTCCGGATAAACCTCTCAGCTCGTCCGTTCTGCTGGTGGATATGAGGATATGACCATTGTACTTTAATACCTTCGTTCTTAAAGAACTCATCAAGTGCATTGGATCTAAATTCTCCGCCACCATCAGACATCCATTCCTTGACGTTAGTCTCGTATAGATTTTTGACTGAGGCAATAAATTGCTTTATCACTGGCAGAGATCCGCTCTTCTTTTTCAAGTGGCAGAAGAACCCGAATGAAGTATAGTCATCTATGAAGAAGATCGTATACTTGTACTTGTGGTACGAAGTGGTAGGCCATTCTTTGAGGTCTGAGTGAATGAGCTCAAAGGGACGTGATGCCCGATGAGTAGTTGGCGGAAATGGACGTAAAGTCATCTTTCCCTTGGCACAACCTTCACAGAGATCTTCCTCATGGGGAATGCTGAAGGTGGGAACACCTTCTGCATGTTTCCTCAGTTGAGTGAGTGCTTCGCGCGATGGATGACCCATTCGGCGATGCATGGTAGTGTAGTCCACTGAGTGGATCACTAAGTTTACAGCCATAGGCTGTGGCGAATAATCTTTGAGAATATAGATTGTATCGCTGTGAGTTCGTGGTTCAAATGACAGGGATAAACCATCTTTGTCCCAGAAGTCAACTTTGTCTGCGTTGCCGCGAACAGTTTTGCCATCTTGTAGGAAGCGTCCTTGTGCTATAAGGCGATGACTCAACTCCTTCATATAGAATACTGGAGCGATTCGTGCCGGATACATGCGACCTCTTACATCCTTGAAATGTATCAAGACAGTCCCAACGCCAGTAATGTAGGCAGTTGTGGTTGCAGTTGCTATAAGAACTTTTTCCTCAAGGTCTTCATACTCAATGAAGTCACTCAAGTCAAAGGTAGTGTGTTCAGAACAACCAGAGTCGTTCATCCACCACTTGGGTTGGTTCCTCTCTTTACCCTTACACTTCTTGCACACAGAGTATGAAACATCATGTACACAAAAATGTTCTTTGGATATATACTTGACATTGATACGATAATTATACAAGCGGGACAAGAGATCAGGCTTAAAGGCCGACTTGCATGTCTTCGTCACTGCAACCGATGAAGGTGTGTTAGTATATCTCGTATGATCAAGATCAGAGGAGGGTACTGACCCCATGGTGTCCATGAATCCAGTGATTGCCAAAATTTCACGATCCAAGT